ACAGCTGATAAAAACATCACAATAATCCACAGCACTCCAGTCCACTGGCGTCTTGAGAAGCCAAAAGCTGTGTGTTTGTAAGAAACAAATCCATTTTAACTCCAAACCCTTGCTTCTGTCTAAAATAACGAGTCCATAATTCATAAGAATTACTTGGATATGGCTTTATTCAGTGAAAAAGTTGTCTGGTCTCAATCAGGAGAGAAATATGCACGGATCAAGCACCATTTACAAGCCAAAACAGTTCTAAAAAAAGGCAAATATGTGGAGACAACAGGAGATGGAACTTTTCACTGGAGGAATCACTGCATTATTGAACTGTGAACTGTCGATAATGTTAACAAATGGAGCTTTACTCTAAAGTGTTATCATTTTACGTAAACTAAGGGATGAGTCAAATCATCATTGTAGCACAGATGTCTTTAAAGAGGTCTGGTGGAGTCAGCAGTAGATTGGAGTCAATAAATACCATAAATTCAGCTCTTTTGATTCTTGTGTATAATTCATTGTTGTTTATGTTGTTCACAGATCCAAAAATGGTGTGATGCAGAGGAGCAGTCATGGCAGAAAGACAAAGATGACACAGAGAAAACTCTGCTGAAAATAGAGCAGAGACTACAAGATGTTCAGTCTGTTCTTATACGAGCAAAGGTAACAAATCCTTGACATTTACTCAAATATACAGACTAGACGAATGCCTGAATCTGATCAGACTAGTTCGATTGTGGATTAGAGATTTATGTGAACTGCTGAGCTTGAATGAATTGAAAAGTAATCAAATTCCAGAGATGGTACAAGAATGTGCAGTATTAAATAATAATAAGTAATGAAGATTTATGAAATTTCAGACGTCTTTGAGGTATTGCATAATTTGTGCATGTAATTTTTTTTCTAGGAGAAAAAAGAAAAAGGGACGTTGTTGATAAAGGAAGTGGAGAGAAAAAGCAAAGGAATACATTACCCTGAAACCGAGGCTTTTGGTTGCAAAGCCACCACTTTCAAAACCAGCGTGACCGGGTTTCTCTTGAAAGCTGAGGAGCGTAAATCTGAGCTGGAGACGTCTGTCGATCTCTATCGTTTCTGTGAAGAGGTTCGTCAACAAACACGGACAATTAACTGCCCTATTCAAGTCAACGTGAAACATTTGCAAGCCGTTTTATTTCTGCAATGTATTTATTTGTGAAGCAAGGTATTCTGCGAGAGAGAATTACTGAAAGACTGAAAGCAATCTATTGGAGTAATTAGCAAGGCTCCCCATAGAATTTGAAACTATGTTCTCCAGGCCTTAAAAAATACGAAAAATCTTAAAATTAATGGAATTTGTAGTTACTAGTAGTTTCTAATTGTGCAGAGCAATAATATGTAATTGGTATAATATTGCTCTTGGGTAAAATAAAATGTGCTTGCAAACCCTAGTGATTTTTGATTAGCAAATTAATTATTTTCAATGAATCAGTCAAAAGTACTCATAAATGATTGATGAATGAACGATGAGTCAGTCAGAATCAAAATTATTTCGAGATATCATTTGACATAAATCCTTGTGTAATTATCACAAACAACTTGAAAGCTAATTGGAAAGGTCATTACAAATTATTAGTCAACAATTGTGGTCCCTGGGACAAAAAAAAAGTGTATTAAGAAAGTACATTGGATC